ATGGCGTAGGCATCCCTGTAGGTTCTCTATAGAAATCAATACTACCTTGTCGGAGCTATTGTGTCTGTTGGAATAGAAGGCTGTTATGAAGTCGTGCTACGTCTGCGCTGGATGGGTGTATATTATTTTGATATGGATTTTAAGTAGATCTGCTCTCGGCGTATATTATCAATCCCGTGGGAGTGAAGTTCAAGTAAATATGATTCCTTTGTATACTTGACAATATAAATGAGATTGGAAGCAGATCTTGTCAAATAATCAATATTCTAATTGTAATCTAAATTGAACAGTTTTTTTTTAATTAAAGTCATGACAGTTTCTTGCAAACTCATTTGGCAAAAAGACAGTTTCTCGTTTTGTAATTACAACTGTTCATATGTTGTTTGGAACATATTATCATTACTATTAGTGCTGTAAAAATTGTCAAACCTGCTTTAATATATAAGCTACCTAACCATTAGGCCGTGTCAAACAGACAAGAATACATACAGCCTTGTCTGCTCCAGACCTTAAAACAACCTCATGAAATTCTTATGTTTAAAGTACCGTAAAACATACCGGTAAGTAAAACATCTAATGTTAGACCTTATATTTCTTGGGTATTTTTACAGACTGTCCCACTGAAATAAAATCTTAATTGTCACTTCTGCAAACAAAAGTGGTAGTGAACACAAAGATCTAACTTTCATAAGACTGGTTTGTGAAACTAACCAGGAAATAATCAGTGAAAATGGAAAGAAAAATGAAGGAAATTGACAATCACTTTTAGTAGGCCAACGCTATTTTACATCTAGGCAAGACAAAAAAGAAAGCCCACAAGATATTATTACTGTTGTTCTTGACACATGGTGAATAATGCATCAAAATCTATATTAAAACAAAAGTAATACATTTGCTTACGGTATCGTTTCAGGATTGTATTTATCTTGAAGTTAAAAATTTATAATTTTTTTCCATTACCTTACTTCAAATTTGAGGTTGAACTGTCATTAACAAATAAAGGGCATTAAAAAATTAAATTTGAATATCCATTAAACTGCAATTAGTTCTCAAACTTTAATTTTAACGTAATATGTTATGGGTTTGTTGTACAAAATGTTTTTCTCAGTTACATGTAAGTGTCAAACAGGAGTCCTAATCTAAGACCAGACTTTTACTCAACCTGTGTACACTGAATTGCTTCACGTGATACCATACATTGTTGTTCCCATCAGAAACACAAATTGCTATGAAGCCCAACATGTAAATATTAATGATAATAATAATCTATACTTGCACTGAAACAACTTCATGATATTTGTCTATATGCATAAATGTTAAATCTAGTGAAATATTTCCTAATTTTATTACTGAAATGTTGTTGATCATGTGGTGTAAATCAGGGGTCTGTATTAAGTCTCCTCCTATTGACCATCTTATATGAGTAATGAGCTGGTGCAAGAACTTGAACAGACAGACACACCAGGAGTCCAGCTTCATCTTGATCTAGAGTTGCTTCTTTCATTATTGATTGACCATGTCATAATCATCTTAGAAAAAGTCAAATGCTGACAACTGTCTAGACAAGAACAATGGTTATAAAAGTTACCAGAATATGTTAAAATGAATTAAAAAACTGATTCATGAATTTATACAGGACACTAATTTAAAGCTGTTAATGTGATTAGACCTTGAGGAATCTACATTGTTACACTGGTTAAAGGCTCATCATACCTCAGTTTTCAACTCCCTGGGGATAATACAAATAAACAGTGTGTCAAGCAAAAAGGTTAATAGTCACATCCTACAGGTACCCATTCACTGCAAGGTAGTCATTTACCGAGGAGACAGCGCATGTGCTACATGTGGTAGAGTGGGTGACAGGACTGAAGTTCTGTGAACTCTAAGGAGTCTCTGCTGGTCACCCATCCGACAGACCACACCTGCTCTACTGATTTGTGACCTGTGTGCTTTACACAAAGTCGCCAGATTGGGGGCTGTTTCATTCTATACAGTGGTCACTGAAAATTGGCCTTAATTGAAACATATCATGGCAAAACATTTTGTAAATTGTGCAAACCTGTTTTTTGAGAAAAAGATTATTCTTTGTCACTTGTGAACAAAATGTCTGTCCAGAGTTTCCTCCCTTTGGCATTCCAGGAAACCTCTGATTGTGGGTTCAAATCCAAGTTTTCCCTGAATATATTTCTAGGTTTGTCAGCACCAGTGCTCATGGTTCTCACCAATGCAGTAAATGGCTCACTTGCAGTTTTGGAACTTAAACCACGGAGCAGATATAGAGGAGAAATAGAGGTATCTGGACCTTAGATACAAAGTGTTTATCAAATTGGCAATATGGAAGTTGTGTATCTCCTGTAAGCACTTCCTTGGTGTAAGGTTAGCAGCCAAAACCAAACTGTAAATTGTAAATGTTGTAGATACCCTTTATGGGAGCATACACATTCAATAAATGAGTCAGGAATTGGATCAGTGAGTGAGTGAGTGAGTGAGTGAGTGAGTTTTTACCCCGCTTTTAGCAATATTCCAGCAATATCACGGCGGGGGACACCAGAAATGGGCTTCACACATTGTACCCATGTGGGGAATCGAACCTGGGTCTTCCACCAGCGGATGCTTTAACCATTAGGTTACCACACCACCTCGTATACTGATAGAAGTCAACAGGAGTAGTATAGATACACAAGAGTGAACATTGCCATAGAACATGTAATAGACGTTTTCCCATTAACTATGGATGGAGACAAAGCTCAACTCCCTGCACACTCTCTATATAGAACAATACCAAAGACAATGTATGAACTATAATATGAATTACATAGGAGACTAGTAACATTTCCTAAAAGTGGTGTTTCCAATACTTAAGCACAAACCTTGTAAATATGTTCTAAATCCTATAAAGCACAAACCTAGTAAATGTAGTCATGGAGCCATGATGTAGCCAAATGGTTAAACCGTACGTTACGCCGAAGGCCCTTGTTCGATTCCCCTCATGGGTACAATGTGTGAAGCCTATTTCAGGTGTCGCCTGCTGTGATATTGCTGTGATATTGCTAAAAGCAGCATAAAGCCATACTCACTCACTAAATGTAGACCTGGTGTTATGTTATCCCTAACACAATGTGTATCTATCATTCTGTATTTCTGCTGGTGTCCCCCGCCATGATGTTGCTGGAATATTGCTAGAAGCGGCGTAAAACCAAACTCAGTCAGTCAGTCTGTATTTCTGTGCTGCTGCGAGATAAAAATGTGTAAAAACTGAGAGCATCTATTGCAGCTACTCATCACAGGTAACACCAGCTCCAACCTTGATGAGATAAAGACCTGATTGATAAAGTGATGGAGTGTGTGTATCTATGCTGATGGATCTATATTTAGCGATGGTGATGATGGATAAGGCGTAGTACTCCCTGGTATGTTATCATTCATTGGTGATTGGAGGTTTGGTCTCATACCAATCATCCCAATCAGTCATAAACAACTTTTTGCTGTAGTTTCAATCAAAAAACCTGTAAGAATAAAAAATATTATGAAGTTCTAAGAATCTTGGTCCATGTATAAATTATTGCTTGGTTGGTTATTGGCGACTGTGTTTTTGTACATACAAGCAATAGGAATAATCACCATCTGTTGAATGCTGTGAACAAATATTTGATTAAGGTCAGCATATTTGTCACCAACTGATTATGTGGTTATAGCTGATCTGTGCTGAGGTACACGTTGACTCATACTGAATACATGTATAATCTATTAAGGGACCTAGATTTCCGAAACTCTCCTAGTGTTAAGATGGTCGTAAGTGCCATACATTAATATTAACTTACGACTATCTATCTATCGAAAATCTAGGCCCTGGAACATTATTTTTAATGGCCAATATCTTCACATAGTGCTAGGTAAAAGGTGTATGTTGTCCTAACATCACAACTTGGATGAAAGTGTTCTATGTTCTTATTTTGAGTGAGTGAGTGAGTGAGTGGGGTTCAGGGTCGGGGTCGGTTGGACGGTCGAGCGAGCATATGATCCTTGTTTTACACTACAATTAGCAATATTCCAGTAAAGATATGGTGGCTTTACTCATTTCACTGATGTGAGGAATCAAATCTGGACTCCACTGAGTTTAGTCAATACCTTAACCACTAGGTTGCCCCAACACACCCAAGTTATTAGCGATTCTGGACACATGCTTACGTTACTGTCAGAATTGTACAACAGACTCTGCTTTCAGCATAGATTCCTTGTGATTATTATGGAAATGGATTTGTTGCATATTTAAACCAAACAAGACATATCTGCTGCCTAAATGCAGCCATTTGACACCATTTTCTGAAAAGTATGGATGCCTGTTTTGGTGACCTCTATTTCAAACCAGTTTACCATAGTAATATATAGTAACTACCTTGTTAAATGTTCAATCCAGATTGAAAACTATTTTAGTTTAACCCATTTCTTTGAATTACTGTTGATGATTTTGAACAACATAGCCGGTAAGCTTTGAAAACAAAAGTATTTGGAATAGTCGGTCTGGCAGTCCCTGAACTGCTTGAATTTTCTCTTCTACACAACTCTTTCTGCAAAGCTAAAGCTCTAAATGAAGCAAGTCTAGATTTCTTCAGGTTCTGAATCTCCCATCTCAATGGGGTTCCTTTCCAATTGTAAAAGAAATATTTGTCTCTATCAAAATCATAAATAATCAGAGACTAAGTGTTAGTCTATATTGGAAGAGAACAACTACTACATTTGGTTGACACCGTTGTTCTAGGAACACAAGATCAATTAACAAAATAAATGCTGAAGAACACAATCTAGGTAAATCCATCCTGGCTTCCTAACATTTCTAGCAAAGATGTCAACATTGTTGATGATAAGGATGCTGGTTTGGAATGACTTGTGAGGAAATCGTTATGATGGCCATGTTGGACGTTCTGTGAGGGTCTGCAAGGAGTATTAACACAAGAACATTGAAAACACATGGAAGAATAAATCAAAGCAACTCAATGAAGTGATAAAACACTGCACCTTTAATGATTTTTAAAGCCGATCAGTACAAAGATAGGCAGTTTGCAGATTAAATATTTAATCAACATGATCAATTGCACAGGAAAAGATATTGCACGAGATCTTACTGTGACCTTAGAGGTCAAAGATCCAAAAGTAATTAATATGATGAACACATGCACATTTGTCAAGATGAAAAGAAACAAAATAAACCATGACATTGTAGTTCAGTCAAGTCACTGCATACCTTTGTCACAAATATTTTACCTGGATTATATCTGAAGAACACAACATAATGTAAAACTCTTTTAACCTCTAACAAGTTCCAGTATGCAACAGAAAACTAAATACCTATTTTTTATAATTCTTTAATGTATCAGTTGCCATGCTGAGACATTTGAGGAATGATGTTATGTATAAGTCTTACCATTTATGGAAATATTAAGCAATTAATATATGATTTAAAAGCCCTTTTTAATATGACACCATATCATTGCTTTCAGTATGCAGTTACAGGTAAGTTATTTTAGTCAGCGGGGTCTCAAAACATATGCAAAAACAGATCCTACAGTACTGTAGCTCACCTGGGTATTGGTCAATGGTTAACAAAGACATCCGAAATGTGCTGCCAGCATTGCTATTCAAATATGAAACCAGTGACTAAATTAATACTATATTTCTTAAGCTTGATTAAAATAAATATGGTAAAAGCACAAATTTTGGAACAACATAGGTCAATGAAAGGATATCAAAACATTTATAATTTCAGCTTCTCGCTCTGGCAAAATTGTTGCTGTGCCAAGCGCATGTCAAGATCAAAATTGGAAATATACCCCAAATATGGAACCTACATTCCCACTGCTTAGATCAATATGGAAAGTTTCAGCTTCATTGGTCCAGAGATTTCTGCAGAAGATGCTTAATTTGCTTAAGAGATGACCAAAGCTGATGCCAGACAAACAGCCAATGCATGAGCTAACTTGACTTTCAGCCAGGTGAGCTACGAACTAAGAAAAGGTAATATAAAACATGACTACAAATAAGGAAATATGCACATGGAATCAACTGTACTTCAATGGTTCTGATGATGATGTTTTAGTTAAAATCAAAGGCAGTTTTACCCAAATATGTTGATCAATTCGCCTGGAATGTTTGTGTTTTTATACACACATATTTGGGCTCTCTGTCATCATGTGCAACAGCCACACACATTTGTTCACAGATCATGCACACATTGAATGATTAGTCTTGGTGCACCAGCATGACCATGTGTCTTTAATTCAATGTTAAGTTGAACATTCTCAAGGTAACAATTTAACACTGATGTATTTTAGATTACAGTGGAACAACATTACAGTCCTCCCTCGATGAATGAAATGCAAAAATAAACCAATAAATATCACATCCTGTGGTAACCATAGTAACAATGTAAACACCAACCTAACATCATCATCAATGAAGAAAAGAATGTTTAGTTGTTTCATAAATACAAATGAAATAAATACATAGGTTTTATACATTATCACATTGTGTGTCATTTTGTTCAATAAATATCCCCAAAGGTTTAAGCATATCCTCATTTAATTAAAACTAACAATCTTACAAAAAATATCTTCAACAAATGTTTGCTTGTAACTCAAACAATTACTCTTCTATGAAATATGTAACAACACCTGTGACTACTAATGTCCAACAAATTCTATAAGAGCAAAACAAAATTGTTTTTGTTATTAAGCAACAGAGGCATATCTGTACTATAAAATACTGAGAATTTAAGAATTGGCAATCATGTTGTCCGAGTTCTCCACTGCAGTGCTTGACAACCCTACATGGAATATGTTGGTAGGCACCTAGGGCTGGTTTCCATAGTTACGGTAGCATCATGGTACAGTACACTTTCTCAATGTTTTCTTAATGAACACATCGATAACTTGAAAGCATTCATCTATGGTCTGGATGCTGTTCCAGATGAAGGATAAGTATCTACTTGTGTTATGATAAATTCTGAAGATGATAACAGAAGATCCATGAGATGCTGTACGTCACACATGACTTGCTCTGAGAACTAGCTGTTATCACCTCAACAGTCAATGACACAGCCAGTGACACGTCTATTGTCACATTTACAATCAGTGACAATCGTTGTCACCTCCTTAGACAACAACACAGTTGTGACTGCCTGCACATATGACGACGGTGCAGTCGTGATTGCCTGCACAAGAAATGACACACTTATGATGTCTGGCAGTGTGGTATCAACTTACGTTCAGCTAATGATGGCGACATCTGCTACACACGCAGCATCGTGTCATCATAACCAAGCTGTAATAACCAAACGTATTACCTATTAGGCAAAACCGAACAAGTAAATAAGACTTTTTGGCTTTTCATGATGGATTACATTGAACTTTCTGCTCAGAAACAAAATATTTGTAGATTGCATTTACTTTGAAGTAGGCTTTTAGAATAAAACCAGTTGTGTGATAAAGAATGAGTGAATCAGGATAATAGCAGAATTAAACAGCGTTTCAGTTATGTGTCTGCATGTCAGATAAATTCAGGACAGACATTTGTCACTTTACTGACACCCACAGCGCAGTGCTCACAGACCAATTATCACAAGTTTGGTGAATTTGGTATAAGCACCAATGATGAGCATATCCTTACAGTACCAAGGGATGCAACTCTGCAATGTAATTGCAACATCATAGACCACCTGGCAACCTGTGCCTTGGAAGAAACTGAGAAATGTTTAGGATAAAAAAATTCATCTTTCTTGGCATGAAGAGTAAGGAAACAGTCATTTCTTTTGTTACAATCTAAAAGTAGATTATAGTACTAAAGAAAATATAGATTTCAGTACTAACATCAAATGCCTTGCAACCCTTAGTTGCGTCTGTAAGATACATATACAGGTGCTCTTGGACTCTTATTTACATCAAGAATTCCTGTAGGTTAGAAAAACATGTAACTTACAAACAGAACACAAACCAATAAAAGCATATACATTTAAATTCTCCACAGAGATGATAAAATAAATCTATACACTCAGCAGAAGTCTTCCTCACATATGGCTCATGCTGTCACCATGTAGAATATATATCCTATCCAGGAGAGACATGGAGTAGATCTATTCACCATAATGTGATGCTGTATAGCAGATAGTCATGGTGTAATGTGTCTTGAAGTATATACAGATTCCAAGATGGACTCCTTGGACGAGTGATAGAAATGGTGTCCTTTTATTCATGGAAATGAGGAAGAGCTGCCATCATTGGCTGGCTAAGCTGGCAATTTATCATACATTATTTCATGACAAGAATTGATGAAAAATGCTGGTAGCCATTTTTATAGTTCTATCCACTTTTGAAGGGGCATTTTTCACTATTATATTACCAAAATAAAACAAATCGGTCAATGACATGTAAAATGAATTATCCTGGAACCCTGTTTCACTCAACAACAGGAATCCTTTTTGCAACTTATTCAATTATGGAAACTGTCTAATGGACCATGAATACAAGTGTATCGGAAGGACAATATCATTGACACTATTGAGCTGATAATGGATAAAAAGCCATGGCATAATTTTCAAAATATTCAGTAGCAAAATTTCAGATAATGAAAACAAGAACCTGGGTGATAATTGATGACAGTCGCTTCCTCACAGTGAGACAGACATTGTGCACCATGACTATCGAACTATAGAAGTCTATGATACAGAATGCACACGGCCAGCCCTTGCTCCTCGCTCGTTAGGTATGTGCCTATTCCTGATGACTACACAGGAGCTTAAGTGGATGAGGAAGGACTGTACATAGAGTTACGGTGATCAGTACCTTTCAACATATTCACACATCGCACAGTGCCTACAACCCAGGGTTAGCAGCTCTGTGCTTCCAGGTGTCCATTCATTGTCACTTGGGTTTGGCTAGGCTCTACTATACACTTGTCATTTGCATTCGCATTCTGTGAAGCAGCTTCTGATAAATCCACAAGTTTCTGGTACTCATGGCAGTCCACATCACTGAGAGTGTCTGGTTCTATAAGCTGATCATAATTTGAGCAATCAGTGTTTGATTTGCATTCGGAACTACCACAAACTGTTTCTTCCCCATTAGGCACAGTAGCACCCTCATCACATGGCCCACTTTCTTGCATATCCACACTGTCCTTCTCAGGGGCAATGTTGTAATAAATTCTATCACTATCTTCCACAGTGCACTGTAAAGTGTCCGTCTCCGTGGCTAGAATTTTGGCAGTGCCACTCAACACGTCCTGTACATCACAGTTCTGAGACACGGAATCAGGGTCCTCACTGGTTAGCGGGGGGTGCAGTGGCTCGGTTAAATGCATCTCCTGCAAAAGGGGGGTCTACTCCCAATTCTTGAGCAAGTTTTTTCTTGTCACTAAAGATATCAGCATATCTTGGGAGACCATCACCGCTGTCCCCCATATCGCGTTTACAGTCACGGATTTCCTCGTACTCCCGATTCACAGATCTTGTTGGTTGTCTCATCGACACACGTTCCTCTGGTGCCTTGGAGTTCGGCTGCCTCATCAATATCTGAAACAGAGATCAGTGGAAATTAAGTTTGAGTATGCTTTGCTCAAAGTGTAAGGAATTGAATTATTTTTCAGTGGAACAGATGGTCAGACCGAGAAGGAAGGGAAAGAAACCAGCCTGAACTAAGGGACTACAGTACACAGATGTGAAATAAAACATAATCACTGGTACAAAATCAATTCAAGGTCATCTTGGGTTATTTCAGGACAATATTCTTTTATTGCACAGTTAACATTTCTTTTCAACGGTCCAATCAGGCTTGTGCTCAACAGTGCCTGAAATTAGGCTGTTAACTACTTTCTCTGTTGTGCAAATGATAAAATGACACATTATCTGGCTCTTAGATAAACATACTGAAAGAAAAACACTCAAGACACCCAACATCCCCAAATCACGAACAGTACTTTATATACACAACATTCCCAGTAAATCTAAAGGTAATTGTAAGTGTAAATTTAACATGATTCTTAAATTCTTCTCATGAAGGACATTTTCATGCCATCTAGTCTTTATTCAATGACTTTTCACGGTATTTTCCAATTTACGTCCCTTTAAAACAAAACTCATAAGTCAAGGGCTTTTTCTTGCAAGACACTTTGCCTAATGGACCTCCATCTCATACATCAGAGGAAGCCTGTTAATGCAAACATAAGAGAGCATCCCACCAATAACATACATTCTGTTGGCAGCTTTTAAATGGACCAAACCACATTGTTTGATCCGGACTTATTTCCATAACTGACACATCTTCAAAATCATGAGGGACCGTGTCAGAGCCCTAATGATAATTCCCCCTTAGTTTCGACCAAAGTTGACACAAGAAGAACATCTTCCTGAGTCTTTCTTGGGTTCAAACAAGTATCAGAGAGTAGATCACAGAATCAAAGAGATTCTCAGGAATTCTTTGTCAGGATCAATGTGGTAGTAGGTCATTATTAGCTCAAGAAATCAGCTATTTTGTCCGATGCTCTTGGGTGACAATGTAAGCATTGAGATATGGGATTATCATGTTCATTATTGTAGTCGTTTCACAAAAAAGGACAGGATATAAAAGAAAACTTATGTTTTGTAAATTATACTGTTTATGGGAGAGTGAGTGTGTTTAGTTTTACACCACTTTTAGCAATATTCCAGCAATATCACGGTGGGGGACACCAGAAATGGGCTTCACACATTGTACCCATGAGGGGAATCGAATCTGGATCTTCGGCGTGATGGGCGAACGCCTTAACCAATAGGCTACCCCACCGCCCCTATACTGTTTATGGTCACCTGTTGACTGTGGAAACGATGATTATCAGTAGAATATGCACATTAATTCTACTCTATTCATTGAACATAAGATGATTCAAGTCACAGAAAAAGAATGTCACTGAACAACACTTAACTGTCTACGAGACAGACCTACACACAAGACAGACCTACACACAAGAAGAATGGTCTGAACTCTCTACAAGTGTGCTCATGAAAAGATGCCTTGCATAAAGATAAGGACTTGGATAATCCCTTGGGATAATGTGGGGATTCATTCACCTGATGAAGGAGCAAGAATTAACTCTGAAACATGTCATGTATTTATGTTTGTCCAGCTTCTAAATGCCTTTCATGAGCTATAATTTCAGGTATGTTCCTTTTCCTTTTATCACCTAATGGAAATGGTTTTGAACTACTTAACAAGAAAATCAAACCCTGCCACCATGAGGATACTGAATTGGTTTGTATGTCATGATGTCATGTCCCACACAGATCTGTTCATGAAGCCTTGTTTAAGACATATATCTAACAAAGAAGCTTCGGGATCCTAGATGAGTGAGTGAGTGAGTTTAGTTTTACGCTGCTTTTAGCAATATTCCAGCAATATCACGGCAGGTGAAACCAGAAAGGGGCTTCACACACTGTAGCCATGTGAGGAAGCAAACCCACTTTAACCACTAGGCTACCCCACCGCCCCGGATACTACATGAAACCCATAAAGTACAATATCAGGGTATGAAACTCCCAAAAATTTCAGCCAGACCACAGGGCTGGTTAGATGTAAAACTTGCCAGCCCTGACCAAAACTTAACTGCCCACAAAATATCTTCATATACATGTCTAAATTGTAACCCAACCATCGGGCAGGTGAATTTGAGAATCTGGCAGTTCATGTTGAAAATAACCCGTCCCGGGCCGTCGGGCAGGCAGGTATTTTGAACGCTGACAATATGCAGCCTTAATTAAGTAATTACTCCAAAGTCTGAGTGAAATAAGACACCAAATGTAGATGTTTACAGACAATATATCTAAGTAATAATAAATATGTTTTTTACACTCAGCATTATTCCAGCTGTAGATTGCTGGATCAGCCAATTCAGTGATTGACGTCATGAGCTCCAACTACGCAATAGGGATACGACGACATGACTTAACAAAGTTACTTAGCCTGACCACATGATCCACTGGCGACAAGCATAGGTTGCTTGGGATGAATCCCCACTTGTCGTAACAAGGATTATGTCAGGATACAGATCCAAGCAAGTATTCAAATTTTTAAATGTTAGGACAGATTACGTATGCCTGCAAATGCCTACAAATATACGTGTTCCATAGTTTCAATATCAAAGAACTAGCATTTTTTTCCAAACATGAAACTTCTTTGATGGGCCTCAACTGTTTGACTATACATGCCAGGCACAATACCAATATCATTTATTCAATCAGAAATACCACCGTTCTGTAGCATCAGTGTTAACAATGGACCGAACCAACTGACTCGATCTAGTCATCAACTGTATCTATGAACACTACATCTTTCCCAATAAAAACACCCCAAGAGTAAATGCTACAATAATATTCTCATTTAAATCACCGGCTTTAAACTAGATTCTGTTGATGGGGAACAAGGCTTTCCTCATGTCTCCAATAGACCAACCACATTGGTATCAAAGAACATGTCAAAATGCAGAACATATAACTTGTATAAAAACTGCGAGAATATGAGAGAGTTCTGTTTGGTGAACAAGAATCAATCAAAATTTCATTTCCTTTGAGAAGCGGATCACAAATCAATCAACAGTTTAAACATGACTTTTTGACACAGATCACGCAAAAAAGTCTCCCACTAGGCATCTGTGGAATTTGATGGGCTATTCCTGAAAGATGGATCTTCATTGAATATCCATGTCTTTGTCCTGTAAAACTTCATCAGGTAACATTGATACCCCATCATATTACAGCATGTACATCCGAAGTATCTATGGCGGAGCTATAAACCAATGTTGACTGAGACCTGTTTGGAAGAACTACATCATCTACATGGGCGACAATCATACAGCTGCGTAATTCAATTTCAGCAAATACTGTTTCATTCATTCCGTTGTACACTTAACCTTTTGTAATCAAGTAAGAAACGATGCAGATGGAATGGCAATGTGTGTGTTGAGGGTTAAACAAATATACATCCCATGTTCTGAAACCACAAGTATAACCAGACCTAGACTAATGAAAAGCCACAAAGCATTTAAAATGAAAAAATGTTGAAAGACCAGGAGCTGGATTTAGATCTTACTATCATTCCTTGCTTTAGTAAAAAAATATCCAACAAATGGCGGGGTAATTCACTGGTTTTCAGTTAATCTTTAAACGTTAATGACATAAAAAATACCAATTTACATTTGTACAAAAGTTTCTGCTCATGCATGACTACATGACTACGTGATTACAAAGGTGACCCTATGAAGAAGTTATCTCCAGCAACCTGTGCTTGTCATAAGAGGTGACTAACAGGACCAGATAGTTAGGTTCGCTGACTTGGTTGATGCCTGTCATTATGTCTCAATGGCATAGACTGATGCTCAGTGTCAATCACTGGACTGTCTGGTCCACACTCAATTATTTACAGATGTCATGCAGCTTGAATATTGCTGACCGCAATGTTAAACAACAAACAAACAAAAATCCCTCAGAAAACTGTTAACAGAATAACATTCATGTTTATTGTTAAACCTTTCTTTTTCTACTTTGAAAGAAGGTTCATTAAAAAGTCCATGAAACTTGCTTGATTTTGATACTGTTACTTTTAGAAATGTTATGGTCAGTGATGGCAGAGTAAAGAATAGCATAGCAACAAAGTTCGAAAAAAAAAACCCTTTCAAAGCCACTTTAAAGCTAGTTTTCATTCCCTTCTGTATGTAGCTGATCCCTATGAAATCTTATGTACTTTAAAGTATTTTCTTACCACAAATAGCTTTCAGCCAGTCGGACCCCTGTTTTAAAAACTCTCTTTGTAAAGAAATGTCAGTTGGAGAAAAAAGACTAGCATTTTTATGAATCCATAAAAAACATCAAAACAAGAAAATGCTTTAACGTTGTACCTTCGCCAAATCTGTTTCAGAAAGCAGATGTATGGAGTTTTCATATGATATTTTTTATATTTTAAAACAGAAGCCGACAGCTATTGACATATTGGGAAAAGGGTTGTACATGATGAATCAAGGGAAAGGCTACACATTTGTTTACTTCAATACTTGGAACAAAAAATGCACTTTAGCCTAATGGCTCTTATCCTCAGATTATTCTTTCTTCTTATCACCATGATCACTTTCTGAAGAAAGAAAATTGATGAACTTCTAAATACAGGAAGCTTGGATCAATTGATCGAGGTTTGATGGTCACGAACAATATAGTGTATCACTCATAGAGAAGAAATATGGGAGACTGATTTGTCTCAAAAGTCAATTTCTATTAGATCATGTTTTAGGTCAGAGCAAACTTCTTATTTAAAGAATTTCAATAGGTTTACATGCAGAAGGACAATATAGATCATAGAGACTGATCATCAAAGGAATATCACGTGATTATTGATAAATACTAGAGAAATAACTTAGAGTATAAATGACTGAAAGAAATCAACATATTGTACATCAGTGGTGAGTGAAGACATATTTAAGTATGGATTACCAACAAAACACTGCCCTGAACATACTTTAGGACCAGCCCATGAATAAAAACCTCATCACTGTATCGTCTGAGTAAATTTAAACGTTATTTCACCACAATAGTTCACCACACCACGTTATTATCCATGACACAATTTTTCATATCGATAATCATTAATAATGATTCTCATCCACAATATTTCTAATTATCAATCTTTTTAGTAGGCCATATTGGCAACACATCTTTATCACATACATTGAGTAGATTGAGTACATACACTGAGTATCAAATGGATGACCCAAGTATATAACTGAGATGGGAGGGGCAAATGTTCATTAAAATTACAAGCAATTGAAAAAACCCCAACCAACCTTTAAACTGACAAATGTATTGGGAATGTTGTGCCCTATTTCATCTAATAAATTAAAACATAATGAAACCAATTTTCAATTTGAAAATGATGTCAATAACAGTATGAAAAGCTCACATGTTTTCCAATTCATGGATGTGGAGATATTACATCCAGTTGCACTGACAAGGATCACATAATTACAATAGACAGAGCTTGTTATTTAGTTCACTAGACCAGAACCCTTTTTGTGTACCATGATTATTATTATTTTTTAAAATTCTCACACAAACATAAATCAATAATGTTATACCAGTATTTTTTTTAGTTTACTTCAGCTGACATATCACAAGTTGTCACTGCACACATTACTTAAGGAAGAAGGGTAGAAATTGACAGATGGGACACATGTGTGTATAAGTTTAACAAGAGTCATTAGGAAATGATGTACCACCAGGTGCACTTTTGTATGGATTGAGCCAGGAATAAGATGAGAAATTATGCAACATACCACATATGCCATTCTGTAATAGACTGCTTTTCAGCAGGCATATACTTACTGACAGAACTTAACAGAATTGTTATAACCTTATGCTACTATTAACACATAGAAAAGGTCTTTGTAAGACATTTCCCAAACATTACTCTCTACCAGACTCCATGCCCTTTAGCAGAATTTAGTTGTTATACATAAGCCAAAATATATTTGACAAAACCCTGGCTTCAGACAAGAGTATTAATTTACAGACTGAATGTTTGTAGGTCATTACCTTCAGCAGTTTCGTATATGTGGCTGCCACTATCACACACCACAGGGCACCTGCAATGAAAACACAAATGTTGTACATATCTGATACATTTTTTCATGTGATATTAATCAAGTACATAAGTTGTTCTCACTCATTGTGGAAACTATTAACATACATTCATTCCACTTTTAAACTGTCTGCTTATATAAAAAAAAAACAACCTGACAAGGTGAATCAATATTCATGAAAATCAATCATACACAAGTGTTTACATATATCCAGAGCAGTAAACTATGCGTAAACCTACAAATCCCACTGTGTGGTTTCAAACAAGCTCTCTAATCAAAGCTTACAAATATTTCCAACACACGCAAACTCGATCCTTGAGATGAACACCCTTCAGATTAGGCACAGAAACACTACAATAACCTAGGCAGGGCCAACAGTAATGGGCCCGGTCAACTACAAATACCAGCGCTGCCTTACAAAAGTTCCAACCAGGCTTACGAATACAGACCCTTGGAGATTGCATTAGACCAATTTGTCATCACTATCTACTCTTATTCACACCTTCATTAGTGGTGTCTCTGACGTCAATTTGTCTTCACTTGTTTTTTCGGAGAAAATCCACTTCTCAAACACTTGAAAATTCAAGTCAGCTCTCAAAGTAATTTCAATACACCAAAGACAGATTAACTACATCAGCTTTCGATGAGAATGTCTGAACTTGAAGTCAGGGTGGTTGAATTAAATCACACTACTGGTGGGTCTACACAGGAAGCACTGACAGGAATACAACTTCCTGACGACGTGTACCTGACAACAACACAGATGATGTTCTGTGTTGAGCATGATAGTGTTAAAATAAAGGCATTTAGTACTGGCTTAACCTTCACAGTGGTAACAGTGAGTTGAAGTGAGTGAGTGAGTTTAGTTTTATACCACTTTTAGCATTATTCCAGCAATATCATGGCGGGCTTCACACATTTTACCCATGTGGGGAATCGAACCTGGGTCTTTGGCATGACGAGTAAATGCTTTAACCACTGGGCTACCCCAACGGTGAGTTATAAAACATATAAACAGTAGTACATGTACTTCAGTTTTATCAAAGCGTATCAGCTTGAAGTGAAACGAAAGCCCCAATTGAGTCAGGTGTTGATCAATGAAAGCCGCAAGTATGGCTATGGTGCTAACAATCCTTGGGACATTCTGGGATTCAAACTCCTGATCATAAATATGCCTTTTACACTTGCTACCCATGCACTCCAGTTAAAACAACATGCTGGAGAACAGGGCTTTTTTGTTACTATTGGTCTGGAGACAAAACAGTTGGAACAGATCGCGTAAACGCACCATGCTTCGCGGCTCACTGAGAAGCATGACTTTCCACCTGCGGTCAGACCACGTGCTCTTGACCACGTGGGAAACGGTCAAATCGGTCAGTTGTGTACAGGTTATGCTTGGGTTAAGACGTAATTGAGTTTAGACGTCAGTTGAGTTCCGGTTTCCCTTGAGTTCGGTTGTTTCTTGAGTTGGGTGACAGCTCGTCAAAATAGGATTTAGATAGACTGATATAAAGAATGTATTAGTGCATCGAAAAAGAAGCTCCATATAGCTAGCTGCTATAGAGCTAGATACTGTAGATAGTAGAATTTAAGGTATCACATTAAGTTTCTTGCCTCATTAGCATTTGTTATAAGAGATTCATGTTAGTTCCCCATTTGTATTGTTTGAATTATTTCATCAGTTTAATCAAGAGAGTCACGTTTAGTTCCCCAAATAGCATATTTCGATACTTTAATTTTAGTAAGTTTAGATTTCAATTCCACTGCGCAACAACTATATAATTCAACCAACATCACTGGAAGCTATTACTGAAAACCTGTGGAACCTGATATCTATGTCTACATGCACCCAGTGCACATAGAAGCATTTCCAATTAGTGTCTGACTAACCTTTACTTTTCCACATAACACTGATCTAGGAAAACACTGGATTTCTCTAAGCTATATGTGACATACCACATCCCTTCGTTACGAGCAATAAGCTAATATGCTTTCTTGAGCTTGTCATTACCAAGATGTGAGTACTGCCAGATTAAGGTTCCTATTAAGTTTTTCAGCAATATAATTACTTCAGAGATCTGAGATTTGGGTTATTTAGACTATCTTAGGCATGTATCATGTCTATGTTTCAACATAAGTATATTTATTGGACCAGGGAGCAACCTCTTTTTTTGTCCAGTGCAACTAGGTTTTCATATGAACATGCACCTGGTGTGTTCCTTAAATCAAACCCGTGAAGGTCCGGGTTAGAATATTGATCTTCAGTAACCCATGCTTGTCGTAAGAGGCGACTAACGGGATTGGGTGGTCAGGCTTGCTGACTTGGTTGACACATGTCATTGGTTCCCAATTACGCAGATCAATGTTCATGCTGTTGATCACTGGATTGTCTGGTCCAGACTCGATTATTTACAGACAGCCGTCATATAGCTGGAATACTGCTGAGTGTGGCGTAAAACTAAACTCACTCCTTAAATCGACTCCAGAGTAGAAATGTATCATATTCATTGTGTCCTTGGCTCCAGATATTATTTTGAAGTTATAAGCATTTAATCACAAGTCATACTTCTAAATAAATATACAGTTAGTTTCACTCCCTCCCATATAGTGGTGGTGTGTGGTCCTGTGTATAGTGCTTAGGTCACAAATCAGTTAAGTTAAGCAACTTTGGCCGCGGAGAGTCCTTGAATGGGTAACCGTGTTTGGCAGTTTGACTCCGAAGAGTTTTTAAGACTTCAGTCATGTCCCACAATAGGCAAGTGAGTTTGTTAAAAATTGCCTCTATTCATCCAGCAGAAAATGGGTACCCAGTGGGATAAGTCGTGTGACTATTAACCTTCTAGCACCTCACAGGCATCTTGGGTTATCCGGGGTAATAATAATCACATTGTGCACTTTGAGCTTCCTTATGTATGGAAATAGCATTATACAAATGCATTCTTATTATTTACAGCAGAATTTTTAAAAACTTAAAATGCTGTTACAAGTGACATCTAATTTGTATCAGGTTGTATGCTGCCCCTGGTGTGTAACAAGTTGCATTAACTCAAAACAGCGATACACATATCTAATTTACAATAAGCGAGACACAGAGCTATTTCAAAGCATTATTTGCTGAGTGCATGTGAGTGTGAAGCCTGCTTTCAATCAATAGAATACCAGCACAAATCTGTCAAGTAATACAGGTATCTTATTTGAAAAGGATACAGTTAGGTAATAATTATGTTGTTGGGTTTTAAATTGTTTCATGCATATTTGTACGCAAGCAACTCAAATTAGCTGGGTAATAGTGATTAATTTTGCATATCTTATGCAAATACGTAGCTTATCTGGATCTTTGTGTGTCAATACAAAGTGAATGGAGGCTATGCATGTAGGGAGGAAACAGAAGTGCAAAGTAGCAGAGTGAGTGAGTGAGTGAGTGAGTGAGTGAGTGAGTGAGTGAGTGAGTGAGTGAGTGAGTGAGTGAGTGAGTGAGTGAGTGAGTGAGTGAGTGAGTGAGTGAGTGAGTGAGTGAGTGAGTGAGTGAGTGAGTGAGTGAGTGAGTGAGTGAGTGAGTATGGTTTTACGCTGCTTTTAGAAATAGTCCAGCAATATCACTGTGGGGGACACCAGAAATGGGCATCACACATTGTAACCATGTGGGGAATCAAACTGGGGTATTCGGTGTGACGAGTGAACGCTTTAACCACTCAGCAACCCCACCGCCCCAGAAAGTAGCAGCTAAAGTCTATGTCAAAGTATGAATGATTACATTTGATGGTTTGCACTGTTAAAATCTATGACTATTTAGCATCCACAAGCCCGAACTGGGATCTACAGTGTTATAATATGGACTGTTAGTTGGGATTACCTGACCAATTCGAAGTCTACCTGACAGACTAGTGCCTAAAGGCACAGACCACTGTCAGTTTCACAAGAAAATATTAAAGTTTCTTTGCTACTCTTAGGTTTAGTTTCAGTCGTGTTACTACAGCCAATGAAAGTCTTCAAGCCATTGTTACTTGAAAGACTAGACTTGCAAAAGTCCCTAAAGCCATAATTACTAGTTTAAATCATAAATAGTAAACATAAGAACATGCTGTCCCTAAACAAGGCTTGCATCCCTGTACTATCTGCTTATCTAGACTGGATATTACAACATTAATGGACTTATCATTCAGTAGAATCTGGGAGCAAGGCTAGATTCAAGTTTACTACATGTCTTTTGGTTAGTTTCTACTTTCAATACCTTTGCAAAATATGACCTAAAATAAGTGGTATCAAGCGTTTAGGAATCATGATGTTACTATAGTGATTTGAATGTAAATCAGTGCTGTCAAAGTAAGTATGGCAGTAACAGATATCCCGGGTAAATACATATGCCAAGTATATAGAAACACTGCTGTTATTGGACATGAATGACAATTGAAAATAATATGACAGAAAATATCTTTCATCAAAGAAACAAAATTTGTATTTTCTGAAGTGATTTCTTTAAGCTGCACACATATTTATCTCATAAATTTTTCGAAGGGAGTGGGTTGATGTTTGATCTGAGCAGTTATTTACTGAAGTATTTGATTGAACACACTCTTGAGTAACATGCATTAAGTTCAACCAGGATATCTTTTATGTTCCTAGGCCTCAGTATTGATTTTACAATGGTAGAAGATCAAATAATTCTGAAGGAGCTAATGCACTCTTGAGTTATTCACTGCTTAAGATCTTAGTGATAGAAATCAAGAAGAGGTAGAGGTCTGACTTGCATCATTTAATAACTTTCAAATGTTCAGAATATGTTTCCTGAACACAGCTATCGTAGACCAAAATACCAATACTGAACCTATATTTGAATAATCGTGATAATGACATTATTGTCTGAATGTAATTAAATTCCGAGGCTAATGTGTAAGATGGGCGGAAGGTGACCAGTCTAACCCTTGTCCATCAGCCAGGCTGTTATTTGGGAAAGCTTTTACATGCCAATCATCCCTTGAAGTGCCCATTTGTAGTTGCCATGTGTCTTAACAAGAGTTCACTCAGAAATCATGTGAAGGAGCTATGGAATATGAGCCCCCTGTGTCTATTAACTTTGCATATATTTCATCAGTCGGCCATCAAGGCAAATTTTGGTGGTCATGACCGTTAACGGCAGAGGAAGAAAATCTGATAACTCAAATATCTCTCCTACAATATCAAGACATAATGGCAGATCACAATGTCTATGTCAAGATATGTACTGGTACTCAAATGTTGGCCAATAATTATACGAGTATCAGTGGGACATTACATATGTTAGGAGGATGTAACTTGTCTCCACAGAGAGCCCATGGTTCCCAGACCTTTGATTTAACAAGACTAAACATAGTCCTACATCTTGTTTCCATAAAACAGACAATCTTCCCTTCGAAGGTCAAGGTTCTCATCATACCTTTACCTATCACCAGCGCAAAAATGTTTTTCAACATTAAAACAGTCAAACTATGCACCCTTAGTGAGAGTAAATTAAGGGTGGTAATATACCAGCCAACTTTTCCATGTGTGTGTGCATGTGTGTGTGTGTATGTGTGTGTATGTGCCACCTATATTTCATATACAGCTATATGACAGAGGCCTGTCTATAACCAAGTCAGGGTCACACAATCCAGTGATTAATGCTGTGAACAACCGTGTCCATGCTGTCACGGTACTGACATGTCACTGAGCTTGACAACCTGATCCAAGTCGATGCTTTGACCAGCATATGTTGCTGGTGTCCTACTCAACCTATGAGCCAAGGATAAGCCAAACCATTAGTACATACGAGCCTAACCGTAAGTAGTGAGTGAGTGAGTTTAGTTTTACGCCGCACTCGGGCAATATTCCAGCTATATGGTGGCGGTCTGTAAATAATCGAGTCTGGACCAGATAATCCAGTGATCAACAGCAAGAGCTAACGAGTCAGCGAGCTTGACTACCTGATCACATTAGTCACCTCTTACGACAAACATGGGTTACTGAAGGTAAATTCTAATCTGGAGCTCCACAGGTTCATATTGATAGAAGTAATAGTATAGATAAACAAGAGTGAACATGGCCATAGAACATGGTGAATATGTTGGTCAGGGCCCATGTCAATATGTTTGTCATTTAACGCCACTCTCAGCAATATTAAAGCTATAAGATGGCCGTCTGTAAATAATCAGAAAATCCAATCCTGTGATTGAGCATGAGATCTACACCCCTGGGACATGATGGCTTGAATCAACCAAATCAGCTACCCTGAGCACACAATCTTGTTGCTCTTTCAACAAGCAGGGTTGCTGAAGACCCATTCTAACCTGCATCTTCATGGGTACCATGTCATTATGTACCAACCTTAGTTGTCTCCTCTTGTGGCAGAAGCTGATTGTGATGACTAACACAAGGATGAGGAGGGCGGCGGCCGTGGAGCCCAGGACGATGGCCAGGAACTTCTCATCTGAGGTCACTAAACCTGGCAACATAAACGTGGGGATCGTGAACAACAGTTAGTAAGTAGAGTATATCACATACAACAACACAGCTTCCTGAACAGCAATATTACCACACCCAAATAAAAACAGCAAAGACTGATTCTTCAAAAACATCCAAAAAAAATTTAACAGCCCATGACTACTAGCCAGGGTTGCATTTTGATTCTGTTTAAGACTAATTCTTTTTTTTTTTCAAATTCATCATTTTGACCTATAAGACCTTGAAAGTACATCAGTCAACTCTAAACGAAATTGAAAAAAATTGATTCTGTGATAAAAAAATCCCCACTTTAATTGCCTTCAATCTGAAGATGTTTCCTGACAACTTTGATTTATTTTTTCCAAAATTCAACATTTTACCTAAACATCCTTCAAATACGACTACAAGTCTGACTGACACTTAGGTCCAGACTTGATTATTTCGCTATAATATTATGTATACTTTAGTAGACATATAACCTTAAACCACAAAGTCCAGACTTCAGCTCCCTAGCAACATGAAGCTACCTTCTCTAATAGGCAGTTTTATGCCAGCAGCCCTTCTTAGAAGATTTTAGTTTTTATACACAAACCTTTGCAGATGGTTGTCCAGCGCAAAGAACATATGAAGACCACAGACCTGATTTTATGGAATTTTCCATGGCAACTTGAAAGTTAACCATCTTGTAAAACATGGCTCTAATCATTTTTAGGATTAAACACATGAGCATTTCATATTCAACTCAGTGGTCACTTGCATAATTTTTCCTTTTAAAATTTCAAATTGAGACAATTCAGAATGTTCCTCATTTTAATGTCACGATTAGACTAGACTGATTTTCTTGTTTTGCGGAATGAATGTAAAATTTCAAAATATCATTTGGGCAAACTTTCAATGCAGATTTTAAAAAACACATTGTTTTTGAAGTTAAGGAAAGAAAATATCTGGAAAATGTGCTTTTGCTGAAGAGAAATTCAGTAATTTCAATAAATAACATTTCCTCCTATTTCATTTAGTTTGCCTCTTGCTTCTTGACATATTACCAAGAGAGTTACACAAGAAACAAAACTCACTTGGCCTAACAGGGTGATGACAAAGTTCAAATTCCTCCAGGGTCATAAACAGTAGAAGACAATGCTAAGCTAGTCTCAGCTATACAATATACTGAAACCAGTATAAAAAGTATACACATCTCATCTCACAAAATCAATACTGTCTTGAAAAAACTCCAGGTCAACTGTGCTCCTGTTACACAGTAAATGCAGCAAGAGATAGATCACTGCTCATTTGGGACCAATAATAGTGAATCTGGCGTTGTCTAAAAGATGTGTCTGCCCTCAATGAACCTTTGTCTAACTGGTTTAATGAAACTATCAACATCCATGTACTTAACCATTTTTGATGCAACAGGACGGAAAGGTATTCCAAAATATCAAGTTCACTACTCTCAGAAACATGAAGTGTTTAGTCTTGATGAATAATTTGTCTGCAAACAGTCATCATGTTTATTGACAAAACCTTTGTGGTGTAAAGCTCTTAGATATCAAATTCTGATCTGTGACACATAATCTTGTGAGTTATCATGACTCATATTTTGAAGGCTTTAGAAAACCCGTTCTTGGTACCGTACCTCAGGCTATTGATCTTATGAGTGATTGAATGAGTGAGTTTAATTTTATGCCGCTTTTAACAATATTCCAGCAATATCATGGCAGGGGATACCAGAGATGGGCCTCACACATTTCAGTGAAATTTTCACCCATGTGGGGAATCGATCCTGGGTCTTAGGCGTGATGAGCAAACGCTGTAACTACTAGGCTACCCCACAGCCCCTCGATATTATGATATATTCAATAGATTATCTACTAAGATAAATCGACAATGGGCTGGACAAAATCGAGTGTTCTCCGTGTAATTCTTGAGTTGATTAATAAAACTGCAGTTTGAAGATAATAAAGGTAGGTTGAGATGCAATGATAATAAATAAATGATAGACACATTCAGTGTCTTTTCAAATTTCACTCAAATGTATCTCAAGCAAAGAATCAACATTTGGCCAAAAAAACCATGATTTTAAGTCTCCAAATTAATAGCTACACAAACTTCAAAACTAAATCCATGAAATAAGAAATCATTTCATTTATCCAATATTTGCAGACTTGATAATGCCATTGTGCGTGGCCCTCACCTTTAGCAGACTCACACTTGGTATCTCCAGCACAGCACACATATTCTATCCTGTATGTCACGGCTTCCCGCGGTGGCACCGTCACATAATCCAATCTGAAAATGTGAAACCAACAACATTTGAACAATGATTAACTATTCTAACAGCTCTAGAAAAATCTAAGATCTTGCAATTAATGACTGCCATTTCTAATCCGGAAACATCTAATTGAATGTTAATGATATCTGAATCTCCTGAGAGTTTCTCCATTTTATGTCCACTAATGCTTTGTATGTAAGACCTATGTGGCTGGAACCAGCTTCATTGAAGTGTATGTAAGTCCATGTCTCTCAAAGTATTTTTATATCTACCAGTTTTTAATCATAGTAACTATGTTATTTTACTTTATGGCTAGCTTAGTTGACAATTGCTGATATCTGAAGGAATGGTGTAAATCCAGCTAGGGTCCATTCAGGAAGCAAATACTGTAAGTCTCAATTGTCCCTAGTGTGGTGATCTACTCTCAGTTGTTGGCAATCTATAGCCTATTTTTATATTGTTTTGTCATCAGTAGTTCAAATGTTTTAGATTTAATTACTAGTGTTATATTTATATCTGTGATATTCTCATTGTTTTTACTGTCCTTCGCTGACAGGTTTGTATAACTTACCTTTCTTTATTATGAAATTATAACTTGTTTTTAGTCACGATATGGCTGAAATATTGCAGATGTGACTTAAAATCTTAACTCACTCACTAACTTCTTGCAGTGTACAGATGCAATGTCACTAAATCATCCACTGATATTGATCAGATTTGGGGATGCCCCTCATTCAAATACTCATGAGTAGAGATATGTCCTTAACATGCCATGTGTCAATTTCATGCTAATATATATCCCTGAGAATACCTAGTACCATCATTATTTGATCACGGTGATTAATAAACACCTGTCTATAATGTAGATAATTGTACAATGTACTCTACTTTTAGCAGAGATTTCTAATGATTATTGAATGGGAAAAGGATCCTGAATTATTACTTTGAAATTTAAGTGAGTGAGTGAGTGAGCTTTTATGAGGATCCTGAATTATTACTTTGAAATTTAAGTGAGTGAGTGAGTGAGCTTTTATGCAGCTCTCTGCAATATTTCAGCTATATGGGGGCAGTCTGTAAGTAATCAGGTCTGGACCAGACAATCCAGTGAAATTTAAGAGATGGAAAAGTAAATACTGTACATTAGAAACATTTTGGCTAGAAGGCACTCAGAATGTTACAGCCAGTCCGTAAATACTAGCAAATCAGGTTGAAAAACCTGATTGAAGTTTCATTCAGCACTTTATACTGTTCTTATTCACCAGTTTTTACACCAACATGACTTGCACTGTATCTTATGTACAGCGGTACACAGGTTGTTAACCGGCGTATTGTATCATGGATCACAAATTGTGGTACAATATTGTATCACTGTATCATTACATCACTAGCACAGACTTAAGGACTGCTGTTGATCTGGAAACCTAGCTTGACCTACCGGTACATGCTAATTCATAATGCTATTAGACCAATGACTGTAGATCTGTTAGCTGTCACTCATGTAGATATTCTTTAAGATATACTTTAATTCCTTGCATCAATCATATTGTAGTCAATAACTTCACTGAATCATATAACTTTCAAACAATGTTGGATCACAAATAAAAATTCATTCAATTCTATTTTCTACTATTTACAGGGAAACTATATATTAGCATACTGTATTAACCTGTAAGAAGATACTGACATAGGGTAAAGCTCTAGTTTTTGGAGTAACAGTACAGTGTGATTATCTGGGAAAGATCACTTATCCATCATGATTAGCCGATACACAAACGCTATCAACAGAATTCTGTCTATTTGCTAGAATCACTTAAGTAACATTCTGATTAGGCATATTCATGCATAATTCAATATAAACATGATCATTATAGGAGATCAACTCTTATTAACAGAACACGCAAGACTGATATCAGTGCATCCTATCCCACAATGCACTTCTCATGACTCACTTGTACAAACAAGGTCATTATACACCAGAAGCTTTCTGAAGTAGCTCGGCAAATGGAACTGAATGACAGAAACTCCTATAAAGCCAGCTTGAATACCACACAATGTGCGACCAAAGTATCTGTATTCATTGTATTTAGCGCCATGGGAGAATCAGGTATCTGTTCTTTGGATTCATCAATTCATCAAGATTAGAGTACAAATCCCATGGTTACTTTTTGCTGCTTTCCTGACAACAAAATTCATGAATTTTGAAGATGGGAGCTCACTAATGGAAAAATAAAATAGAATTTGTTACAGAATAAATCTGACTTCTCTCAGCCAATGACAACCCTTGCACTTACCATGGGGAGATTCAGACACTATAACCGTGACAACCTTCTCTTCAACATGTTCAACCTGGTGCACATTTTCAAATTATGGGGTCGCAAGAACGTGAAAAGCAATGACCTTATTGAAAATTTGTACACTATTTATTACTGGGGGATAACCTCATTGAAAAGACTCACTGTAATTTTAAACTCCACTGGCGCCATGCCTACTTGTGGCTTGAACATTATCCATTATGTTTTATAGCATGTAATGTTTGTTTATATTGATTCCAACCCTGGGAAACATCTTAGGTAATTTGGGGTATTCAGACTGACTTGATAACAGAGAAACTGTGCAGTAGATGTGTAAGGACATTGCACTATGTAAATCATGGTGAAAGTATATTGATGGTCAGCTTTCACAATATTTTATTAACATCATATTTTGACACATATATTTCTCTAACCAAATATTCACCAACATGATTACAAACTATATAAATAGATCTTGGTTGTTGCAAACAAATAGAAAACAGGTTTTTGACTTGGGAAATGTGAAATGATTGTCAATATAACAATACATATCTGCATGACAATATTGTATCAACAAAACACCTGTGAGTTACTGCATCAAGGCTAATCCTTTTCCCTATAATCAATATGTAGTCATTACTCTGCATGTCCGCACATCCATTAGTCAAGTGATTAATTAACAATCTGCTGCAGCCTGTTTTTAGCAAATGACATTTCTGGACCTGACTGCCGTGAAAAAGAAATGGTGAGAAAATATTTGCAAATTAATAGTGATTGAAGACGGCTCTTGATTCTACTGTATCAGAGCAATTAAACTCTCTCAAATTATCAACAATTCTTCAGCATCGTTTTATCCAAATGACCAGTCTTCATTGTCCTGTTGTATCAACACGGCACAGATGCAACAAAACAACATCCAGCTCCTAATTACTTCCTGTATTTCCAGCCCCAGTTGCTTGAAATCACCATCCCCAGAGCAATGAATAATTATTGATCCATATGAATAGCTCATAAATATTGATTTGTGTATGATATGTATTACTCGACAATACACAAAAAGGTTCGCTGCTTGGCAAATGTTCACTGAAACTCCCGAAGGGGCTGTGAAGTGGCAGGGCCCAGACTTGGCCGAATCTTGCTGTGAAGTGCCATGGCCAGGCCTTGAGACCAGTACATTATAACAGCCAGGCAAAAACAATTATATTTTGATGTCATATTTGTCTCATGAGGGAGCAAGTGAAACAAAGATAACATTGCTGCCATGTTTATGAGATGCATAAAAGCTGAGGGTTGGAAGCAAAGGCCTGGTTATTACTTGATATATCAGAGACAGTAAGACTGAATATTGATTCCAATAAACTCCCCTGCTTTCAAACAACCCTTTTATGTTGGCATGAAATGATTCAGCCAACTTGTATGATAAGACTAAGTCCTTATCTTGTCTGTGAAACTTAAACACTGTTTGCATGTCTATTTACCAGTATGCATGCTACCATTTTGTTGCAACTGGATTTGATTATTTAAGTTAAGTGTCTTAAGTGATTCAGCATTCTGAAGCATTTCAAAGGCAAACCAAGCAATGTTTTTTTGGTTTTATGCTATAATTAACAAAAAAACAAAAAACATTGCAGGCCTACAACAAACAACTTTTCCTAATTTGCTGATAATAGAATGGGTGGAACTGCCATAACATTTTTGAGTCAAAGGATGTCAAAGATTTTGAATTGTTGTCTACCTATAGTTCTTGAGATAATAATTCAATAAGGTGAGGTGAAATGGGGTTTAACATCGTACTTAAGAATATTTCGCTCATAGTTTGGGAAGTTGTTATGGTTGATGTATCTATTAATAAGAATTGGTTTACTTTTTTTGTCTTTTTAAACAATACATATGTACACACTTTGTGTAAATCCATCATGTGCCATTAGGAAGCCTTGGTATCAATGAAGAGAGGTTAACAAACACAAAATGTTTGATTTTAGAAATTAACTTTCAATATTGGTGTGATTTCATGCATTATTATATATATTAAAGCATTCCTTATGTCATATTTTACTTAATCAGTGACTGACTCTCTGAGCACTTGTCATTATAAAATATCGAGATTTGGGCAGACAACTCTGAACATCTGTTCCTTGTGAAGACAGTGATAGTTACCGAATGCATCAATGCATTGTGATACTTAATTGGTTACATACCTGGTATTTTGTGATGGACACAACTGGTTCCTTGCAGGATTGTTGCATGGGAAACAAACTAAGTACACACACATTTCAAATACCCTCCAGATGAAGCCTGTATCCCCATGATAATCAGCTTACCTATATTTTGTCCCGCAGTCTACTTTGGTGAGCCATGCCCAAGATTTATCCCAGTTGGAGCACGCTGCAGGAAGACGGCGCGTAGCACATGCACTTTCTTCGACTCTCTCTGGACACTGAAACAAAATGTGTACACATAGTAAGTTTTGACACTGTACTGCAAGATGTTTACATTCTTTAATGGTACACAGTACAATGATCAACATTATACTGCAAGATGTTTATTGTTTATACTCTATATTGTAGTGGTGTTCCAATTAATTGAAATAATCGAAGATTGGTCGCAGTGACCATACGACCAAGCAATCGATTACATTTTCTCATACTCGAACACAAACGATTTTGGAACTACTGGTTTAGTGTTTGAAATACTTGATGAAGGAACATATCTTAGCAGTTGTCAGGGCCTGAATCCGTGATTAATTCCTAGAAAACTCACTTCACTTGCTGAAAAGTCATGACTGAATATTTCTTGAAGACACTGGAAACTTTTTGTTCTGAACTTCATGACATAATAGTCAACACTTTAAAGTAGCAAGTTGCATAATTTTACACATGCTGTGAAATTAGTCAATGCAGTTTGCGCAGTTTCCAAATTAAACAAATAACAACAATAGAGAACCACAAGTTTGTTTCTATATACTTATCTGCAATAACAACTTAACCTGAATATGAAAATCTGAAAAATGATTGTAAACAATTGTTTTCGATGATTGCTCGTTGGTAATGAACCAATCATCAATTGTGAGACTTCAACCAATTCCCATCATTACTATATTGGTACACAGTACAATGATCAATATTGTACTGCAACACTTTTATACTCTATATATGGCATTGACTGACTTTGCATTGTACCATGTTTATTGTTTATACCTTATAATGGTACACACTAATCAACATTCTACTATAAATCTGTTTATAGTCTACATCTGTACATATGTCACTGACTGACATTGTATTGTAAGATGTTAATTGTTTATCCTCTATAATGGTACACACTTATCAACATTGTACTATAAATATGTTTATAGTCTACAACTGTACATATGTCACTGACTGACATTGTATTGTAAGATGTTAATTGTTTATCTTCGATAATGGTACACACTACAATGATAACATTGTGTGTGACAGAGGATATGGTTCAGTGGTATAAAAGTGAAAGTGCCATTTTCTGGTTGACAACGGCAGTACCATTATCAGACTGTGTTCCTGCGTAATAACCCAAACTTGTCAGTTGATATTATTTCCTGTAGACTTTAGTGTTTGGAAAAGTGTTTAAAGCTGCTAGACTGCAGAAAAGATTTTGTACACTCCATAAACATTGTCATAGCTCATGGCTGACATTTCCTTGGGTATATTTGTCTCATTACTTCACTGCTAACTACAAGGAAACATTAGGTAATTTCATGCAAAATTCATGAATATTCAGGAAATAAACCAGAAATACTTGACATCACTTCATAAACATCTGCAAGAACACTCTGACTTATGAGAGACAAGATTAAAAACATTGAATGTGCTGGAAAGCCTTGTGTTTAACAGTTTTACCTAAAACACTGCCATGTCTGCTGTTTACAAAGTTACCTCATTGTTACATAATTTGTGAACTCTGAACTTAGGAATATTATTTTTACAATCTGTGCCAAACATTTCTGAGCCTAATTACCTGACCATGAATTTCAACATCATTTTCAGTTGATTTTTATGTTACTATATTGATATGGATTAGCTGTGCTTACATGGCTGAATAGAAGTTTACATAACTTGGGCTTGGGATATGTTGCCAAAGTATTTTGCACACTCACAACTTATACTGTAATATTCTAAATATAGGTGCAGGGTTTTTCAAGACACAGAGAGATTCATCCATTTCCCACACATGTATAGCATGGATGCAGAGAAAACAATTATTTATCCGAGGGATGCTGAATAATGTATTCATCATCCCCAAAACTATAATCTCCTCTTATTAAAATAATTACCAAATCTTACAGCCCAGTGCACTACAACATTACATTATCTTACAGGTCCTTAATATTTCCTGTAAGACCGTAACCTTATTTATTATGGGTCATATGGACCCCCAGTTTTGTAAGTCAAGTTAAAAAACCTTGATGTATTTAACATTGAGAGAATGTGTCTACACCTCCACATTAAAAACAAGCATTACCAACCAAACATCATCAACATGCCAGACACTGTTTTTTTCTGGAAACATCTACCTTTCCTCGAACTGCCGACAATGCGACTATATTCAGTTGCTTCCACTACTTGTAATCCTGTAATAGTGGAGTTATTTTGAATATTGATCAAGAGCTAAACAATATATTGCTACAGAGTATATCATTACAGTTCCACAGACTACAAATCATAATGTCAAAATATCCATTTCAGATAAAAGATTGAATGATGGAATATCACAGAATGTGTTATTTCTTAAAGAAACATGACACATCATCTGGCAACATGCTTTAAATGTTTTTTTGAGCTGGAATGGTTCATAGAAGTGCTGTAAACTTGAGTTTGTGCTGTAGTCTGATTGTTTGAAAATGTAGTAATCAGAAGCAATTTTACCATAGCACGTCTTCATTTTCATTGAGATTGATAATTCAATAAGAAATTATTTAACCTGTTCAGATGTTGACATGTACTGGTAATTTAATCGCAAATAATATATAATGAACAATGCTACTTTCTAAATGTTACCTTTCAGTGTCATCAAACACCATGATATTTACTTTAGCCATTACGATTTTAATTTTTTAACTAACTCACTAACACTTTAATATAAGGAAAACGTAAACCCTGGAATGTTTAATCTTCACATTAAACCTTAATATTGAGATGTGCATCATAAATGCAATACTATGTATCAATACTGTTGCTTCAACCACTAGAGGTGTAATGATGAGGCAGAGATGCAATATGTATCCCGATAATAACAGTGGGATACGATTCGTATCCCAATATGTCATAAGTTCATATTCTCTCCTGTTCTGCAGGTGAATCAAAGCCCTGAATCATATTTAATTACTATTTCAGACATCTAAGATACGATACTGATATTTACAGCGAACCAGGCAATACCAGAGAATTTGCTTACACTTGTTCTTGAACAGTTTCTGTCACTATTCACATGTTTTACACATTATACACATACCAGTGACTTGTAATCTAAATTGATGTATTGTATCATGAGCCTGGTATTGGATACAATGCTGTACCGCCCTATTGTTACACCATAAAGATAAGAAGGCCCCATGATTCCCCTGAATACAAATTAGAAGTTGAAGCTGTAGAGAAAACAACTCAATTTTCTATACTGTAAAGCACAGCTTACTAATATTTTCTGAACAAAACCATGACAATCTTGGTTAGAATTGATCTTCAGTAACCCATGCTTGTCGTAAGAGGCGACTAACGGGATCAGGTGGTCAGGCTCAGTGACTTGGCCGACACATGTCATCGTATCCCAATTGCTTAGATCGATGCTCATGCTGTTGATCACTGGATTGTCTGGTCCAGACTCGATTATCTACAGACTGCCGCCATATTGCTGGAATATTGCTGAGCATAGCGTTAAACAACAAACTAACAACCAACTGAATAACACCACCATGTAAACAAACTATTGCACTTAAGTAAAATAACTGCCCAAAGTATACCCTACAGGATTAAAGCAGGACTTTGCACTTGATGCCTGTGGCATAATGAATGGGAACACTGGTTTTCTTAGTTAAACTGAGGAATTAATGTTCTTCTAAATACATTCATTTAAAGAATAAAAATCAATTTGCAGCACTGAAATTCAGCATAGAAGTTCAATCAATTGGTAAGTTAAAACACTAAGGAATTTCATCCAAAGGATTCTGAATTCTAACTTACTACTGGTATCCAAAATCCCTGCCAAATTATATCAAGCTTTGGAAAAGCCTACATAAATCCCTGCTTAACCATGAGGCAGATTGCTTTGTACAAGTGGGTGATCCCACCCTGTAGGCATAATTCATACATCAGGAACACTAGACTTACTCGACAGCTTTAGAGCAGAGGCCTCCTACCCCCAGCACAGAAAGCACATTGAAACTCTGGAATATGACGAGCTGTAAGGCAATGCACAGAGACCGCTGGGCCCTCCAAAATGGAATCTGCAACATTTTGTGGCACAGCACTGATGTGAGCACACCAACTGAAGTAGAACCGGCTAGAAGTCCCCTGAAAAACAAATGTCAAGTATATTAGATAGATTGTTCGGGATTTGTCAGTGCAGACAATTTTAAAAATGACATTTGCTTCAGCCATACTCAAAGTGGAAAAAAAGTGTTGTCGGACTTAAATATATAGATCATTAAGTGCACACATAAGTAATAATTGGCTTTGTCTCGTGACTAGACTAGTATGATGAATGCATGTACATACCGGTGTATATCAAATAACATATAATACAAGGCTAATGTGTTTATCATTAATTATATCATTGTCAGAAAGTGAGATTCATTCCCCGGGGTTGCTGAGGTCTTCAGCTATAGTTTTGAACCTTGGGATATTTTAAATCTTTCATTTTTAACATTTAGGTATTTGACAAGGACCCCTTGACATTCACGTATTCATGTTAAGTTGCCAAGAATGTATAGTATGTGTGTGTGTGAGCGTGTGTGCGTGCATGTCCACATATATGTACAGCAGTGTTTAAATTATTTTGTTAACTCTCACAATATGCAGATTGATAATTGGAGCTAAGTAATCAATCAATAATCAATTGTAATTGTAAACCGCCCCACAAAATTAATGTATCATAACATTGTGCTAACGAAACAGGCACCGATTAATACAACGATCGAGACTACTGAGGTTACTTCCTGGTACACATCTGTGTGTATCTTCATCTTGTTTGTTTTAGGACACTTAAAAAAGCCAAAAGCCTGTGACATTAAACAACATTAATTCTAATTGTCCATATCATGGACTTCAACTACAAGCATCATTTTCCAACAGTCATTGATCATGTTTACAAGTAATTATGTGACATGGTTTGAACACACTGGTATGTATAATACAACCTGGCTGTATAACATATATTTGTAGTTTTGTTTGGTTTGTTGTTTAATGCCACACTCAGCAATATTCCAGCTATATGACTGTGGTCAGTAAATAATAGAGTCTGGACCAGACAATCCAGTGATCAACAGCATGAGTATCAATCTACGCACTGGGATACGATAACATGTGTCAGCGTGTCTGATGACTCGATCCTGTTAATCGCCTCTGATGACAAGCATGGGTTGCTGAAGACCAATTCTAACCGGGAACATTTCTTCATATTTAACAGCTTTTGTTGGTTTGACCATACAAAGAAGCCCACTGCATTACCTTCCAAATGTCTATCACCTTGTCAGTGTTACAATATAGACTAAACTTTCAGCTCACTGGTCTGTAGGACCAGTAACTATTCAAATCTGCTGTCCTTAAGATGTTGTCAGTATTCATAACTTCACAACAATATAAAAGACATCAGTATATAAACAGCATTATCTGATAATCAACACAAATATATTGCATTAGTGAGTTAGGGGGTGAGTTGAGTTTTACGCCGCACTCAGCAATATTCCAGCTATATGGTGGCGGTCTGTGAATAATCGAGTCTGGACCAGACAATCCAGTGATCAACAGCATGAGCAACGATCTAAGCAATTGGGAACCACTGACATGTGTCAACCAAGTCAACGAGTCTGACCACCCGATCCCGTTAGTCGCCTCTTACGACAAGCATGGGTTACTGAAGGCCAATATTCTAACCCGGACCTTCACGGGTTATCGCATTAGTATTATGAAGAAACTGTTTTATGTCTATGGGTGTATTCAACTGCAACTGATGAGGTATACCTGTATTTTCCTGTAATGCAAGATTAGTATTCTTGTCAATATTATTTTTTTAATTAACCTAAATTTAAGTTGTCATCGTCCAGCTGACATATACACAATATCTACTGATACACATGAATAAAACATCATATAAGTTCCTTGAGGTGCATTTGGAAAATGTTTCGAAAACATTTTAAAACTTTAAATTTTTGACAAATTACTGTACTAATTTATGAACAGGTCTGAAGGACCTTGAACATGTTATTAATGCCAGCCCTTTTGAAAATTCACTGGTCTTGGTCCTCCAGACATCACACTTATTTCTTCACTATTTATTTGTATCTAACAGCATTGTCGATCTGAATGTTCAGTGTTCACGAATAGTGTCTGACCCTCTGACAAATTCGGCAGATTTGCCAACGGTCCGACAGAAGTCTACAACCCGCCGGCCCCAGTGTCTGACTGTATATTTCATAATGACTTTGACTGAAGTTGTTATATGTGACATGTGACAACTGTTTGCTGTTTATAAATCTTATGTTTGTTTATAATTTCAGCGCCAATTATAAGAAATGCTAAATCTGAAATGTGTGTTTACTTTTATTCTATGGGTCCTGTGAATTTTCAACGGGTCAGACAGACATCTGAAACTTACAGGACCCAATGTCCTGTTCCTTTGAAACACGATTTGTGAACACTGAATGTTTGCGGAAGCACATTGGGTCATGCTAGAAATTCCTGCCACCTAGTTCAACACTATTTATTTGATCTAACTGCATTGTAGGTCTGAATATCCAAAGAAGCACATTGTATTACCCTCTCAATGTCTACCACTTATTTCTACACCATTCATTTGTATCCAAAAGCATTGTCAGTCTGAACATTTGTAGATTATTATCCGTGTATTCGGACAGAACCCTGCTATTCACTCTACTGGCCTTGGCTATTTCGGTCCTCATTGATTCTACCATAACTGGGGGCTGTTTTTAAACTCAGCCTTGTTACACATGCCTGTCCTCATCCCAAGATGTAGCTTCCCCTGCTCACATTCGGAGCTCATTGTTACAGAATGAAAATGACCATGACCACTTCAATCTGTGTTCTCTTGCTCATTAGTTTCAAGTTTTGTGCATAAAGGTATATCCCACATCATATGTAAAAAGTATTTCTTGTAGCACTCTCCCTTATACCTGTAATCATGACAGATAAAAAATAAGGACTTTCTATTTGACAAAAGGTACCTTTAAAGTGATTGCTTCAGGTGAGCACCTATTATTCCACCTGTCAGCACAATTTTCTGAGCACAAGCCTGAATAATAACATCAATTAGAAAGTGATGGAAGTCCTAGGGTCCTGGAGGATTCTGTTTTAATCTGGGACTTCTAAACTCTTTAATCATTAACATAAAGCCTAAACACTGAATACAACAGGCTAAATATTGAATACATTTCCACTTGCCTAAGGATACCTTTAACATAGCAGATAGCTTCAGGAGGGTATATGCTCTCCCTCTCATGACAGAAGACCCTAATTTTCTCAGCATTTGTCAGATTAATCATATAATGGAAAAACATCAACAGTATTAATGTTCCAAGAGGACATTTCTAAGGATTATTGTATAAAACATGGAAGCATTATCAGGCTGTTTCCGTAAGTATCAACTTGTGAATTTCTAATATTTTACTTGCAGATGTACTAAAAGATGTATTTTTAAATTTGCCATACTTGCACAAGTTGAAGGAACCAAATGTCTGCAAGAAACTGCAAATTTACTTCATGAGCATGCCTTTTATGCAGGCATGCCAGGTGAGATCCCTCATTTCTTAACATATTTAACAGCTGTTTAATCACACTGCAAGTGTACATATATGGTGATACAAGCATGTGCCAAGAAATGGTAGCCTGTCCCTCATGTGGCATTCATTAATCCACACACCCTCGGCAACCTTGCCGAGCTCACAGATGGTATTCATTGCATATGATAAATAATTTATGTGAAAAATAATCATCCGACCTAAAAATATGTTTTTGGAATAGGTTCTTAACAACTTGGTAAATTAAAACCGTAAATCATGATGATCATTAATCTTATGGCTATAAGATGAAAAAGAAATGTTTTTTTGAGTTACCCGCTTGTCGTATTTAATCCTGCATCTCAGTCATTCATAGTATTGATACTGCCATTTACTCGATAGAAACGTTTGTAAAAATTTCTGCGACAGAAGAAGCATACCCTCATATCCATAGAATGACATACTCGACAACTGTCATTGAGAAAAATGTGACAAAGAAACATGTTTTGATTAAGCAGTCTTATATAGTTGTTTGCTGTTACTAAGTGTTCACATATTTAGAACGATGTATCTCAGTATATTTATTGCTACGAAACTATCAGAAGCCGTTTCCAGCTCGTGAGTGAGCGAGTGAGTGAGTGAGAGTGCCCTTGCTTTACCACACTGACATATACTCAATGGTGCAGAGTTACAATGTTATAATCACTAGAATGAGGTGATCAATTTCATGATACAGAAGCTTGTGTTGAATTTTGGATGATAATATTGCAGGTGATTACATAGCATTTGATTGGTTAACAAAGCATTTATTTTTGTTGTTATGTTTCCAAAAACCTAAAAACATACAGGCCATGCGCACTAGCAGACAACTTGTGAGAGTGCTTGTTTTATTCTTATAACAAACTTTGGACTAATGAATAAAATAAAAGATGGCGGCACTAGCAGAAATCGTAAAGAACCAAGAACTTGATAAATCCGAACTAAGTCAACTAAAACAGCACATCATTTTGAACTTACATCATTTCCAAACCTACAGTTTACATAACCCCATCTAAATCCTACATCCAATATCCTACTATGGTTGACTTATATTTTCACACAGTGATATCCATCATTTCTATGAATACAACTTCAGTAGAATGGGCCTCTAAATCGCACTGGAGAGTGCTTCAAAGCTGACACAACCACTTTCAGTATGCCCCGATAGCCGGAACAACTACCTAGGATAGCAGTCAGGTTAGTGATAGATTTAATAAAACATGCCTGGAGCCCTACTTGATATAGTGATAGCATCCGGAGAGCTCAAACAAGTTAAAAACCTCCAATCTCAAATCCAACCCGGCATACAGTCTCGGACCTACAGATTTCCAATAAAGTAGCAAATCCATGTGATAATGCGAAAAAAAACCTTGTGATTTAGCCTGGCAATGTCCTGCTAAGGCCGGTATTTTGTTCCATCAAATACTGAACTTGAACAGAGAGAATCTTGTATAAAGTTCCAGAAAAATATTGCAGCTTAGTCCTTTTATCGGCCAGTACATCATTCAAAGCAAGAACAGAGTGTGTAGCTTATTGTGCATTAAAATAGATGCCCGTTATCACATTCAGCCCTTGATTGAGATTACAGGCCAATTTTTTCTTCAATGTAATTATATAACATTAGACGAACAAATTACATGATGCTCTACATTTTTTTGTTTTATTTCTAAACTTTAAAATTTAAGTTAAGAATACTTCTACTGATAAAGCAGAACAACATAAAAGCAGTACTGTTTTTATCAAATTCCGGAATGATCAAGCCGTGAGTCAGAAACTAAAGAAAGTTCTTTGCCTTAGCTCATTACGATTTCATCAACATTTTAATGAGGTCTTTTGAATAAAATACTCAGGTCTGTCACATTACAGTCATAAATCACTGAAGCACATTTCCATGTCAAGAAAACAACTGTGCTTGATATCTTTTAACTCTCTGTGAACCACAAAGATGGAAAGTACAATGCCAGAATGAGTCGCTCATCATACGATGACATGAGACAACTCACAGACATGGTTTCATACAGCCTGAGATGTTTGAACACATGAGACGGAGATTAATTTTTTCCAGGACAAGTCAGAAAAGAAACGTCTTACACAGGAATGGTAAAGATCAAAACATTATGCTTGAAAAACATAATCCTCAGTTCAAAGAGACAAAGGTTATGAAAACATATATCAGAAACATATTCCTATGGTAAAACAGGCCAAAAATATCCCTTAATCAACATTCTAATGACAAGACGCTTACTGGTCGATAAATAATCAGTATCAGACACATAAACATATTGTTAAAGCTCATAAAGAAAATCAGGCTTTTATCTTCTTGGGGTTTCTTTTGTCTATGAGGGTCAGAGTCTTCGAATAATATACGACATAAGAAGCACTATTATTAAAATAATGATTTCCTTATATTTTATTGGAATACTGAACTAAGGTTATTTCACACCGTCTTCTAATTGCTAGTGGACTTTGAACTCAATTCTGCTGCAACATTTAAGTGAAGTTTGTTCATTATGTTTCATCAAAGGATTTCAGATTGGTTCATTTTCGAATATACAGTTTGTCACCCTGAATGATCAGAAGATACTTGTCAAATGTGGAAATACTAATGATATAGAAGAATGCAGTAGCAAAGGTTGATAAAATCATGAATACATCCTCGTGCCATTTGTCTCCATTGTCACTGGATACACACTTTTTCATCCATATTGCGAAGTATGTGTATTTCAGCAATTGAAATCCAAGTTGCGTAGATCTACATTAGACTCTAAATCTTAATGCACAGAGATAAGAATTTGATGCTGTTTATAGACTGATTATATGATCTTGGTATTATCAATCAACTCTTCTTGAATAGAATATGATAAGTTCACCATCTTTGATAATTGATATTATTATTTTTAACTTGCTTGAAACTATTTGATATGTCTGATTGTCACTAACCAGGAGAGTAGGAACTTGCACAAGATGTTGATCTCTTACCAGTGGCCTTGTTAAAATATTTGATAGCACTAAAACCAATTTCAAAATACTATGTGGGTAAAAGGCAGACCCTTTTCTTGTTGGTACGGAACTGCGAATTGGAGAGTTTTGATGCCTTATATGGTGTTAGACATTAGGTCGCTTGTGTGCCATGGGTATTTGAGATTTTCCACTAATTTAATCCCCGGACCCTCTTAAATCTCGTGGTCTTATAATTGATAGTAGGAATATTTTACACTTGGCTTTTTTAATAATAATTTTAAACTGAGTACAAAGGCAGTTTGTGGAATCGTGGGGTCTTGGAATTCTCATGGTTTGCAGTTAACAGTGTTAAAACTTAAGCATTTAATTAGAAATGGTACGAGTGCCCTAGTCATTACTCCTCCGCTAAAATTGAAAGATTCTGAGGGTCATTTGCATCAAGCCCTATGGTATCAACCTCAAGGATGCCCCTCAATTTCAACAATCTACATCTACTTTAATCTATGGACCCCCCTAAAATATATCAGTTTACATCAAGGTTATGACCAGATCGCATTACTTTCGGCAAATGCTTCACACCCTCATCATCACGATCATGCCAGATAGGAACAACTGTAATGACCACCTGTCCAGTGCAGTAGACTGTCTGATTTGTTATTTACAAATATGGTAAAGGTTAATACTGCCCTCTGACGTTGGGCAATGGCAACACTTAACCCCAGTGTGATATATCCATTGGCTTTAAACAGCTGGAAATCATATTTAATGCCTGGTTACCCCCACTGAGTGTTGACATCAATTATAGTTTATCAATTTGTGCTGGCATGATTATTGATTATCAGTATTGTGCTTGGAGGAATAGAGGCCTGCACAGCCTTAAAATGCTGTATTATATAACATTCTAGTGAAATATCAGAAAAAAACATTTGTTGAATACAGCATTGCGATTACTTAACGTAAACAATATTGGTTGAAATTTAAAATAAAATTAATACACTATATTACAACCATTCATCCAGATATACAATGAATACTTTTTATAATTAGTATGTGTACTAATAGGATTAAGTTAACACGGCAATCTCATGATACTTGCCCCTTTGATGTGGATGTTGTGTGATCAATTGCAAAACAAACATTGTCAAGTATGGTTAGCATCTGGTAAGTGGGATAGTGTGTATTAGGCATTGTTGTTAATTGGAATTCACTGTACTGCTCAATGTAGTAAGCTCAACAAGTATTTACCATACAGTATCTAAAAGTTAGCATGGTTAAGGAGACCTTTTCATTGCCATCGTGTAAAATGTTAAGAGGTTTGGGAACCATAGATTCAGACAGTTCAAAAGAAAACCTCAAAGATCACTGTCCCACTACTACTACCATTCTAATTGGAGCCAAATTGAAGCAAGAATACTAATAATTATACACCACAATGGCACCCTTGTACATGTAGGACAGCTGGGTTTTAATGCACTAGTTATTTGACCATAGGGTTTAGTTAGGCACAAGCCCTGAGATGTTTTTAAATAAAATATCTGTCTGTCTGTCTTCAAATCAAAACTCCATCAGCCCTTAGATTTATTGTGACTGAAAGATCTGTAGTTTTATTATAACTGGCAAATTCTTGAAAGACAGATAAAAAATCAGTCAGGAACAATTCAAAACAATTCATCTTCACACAACCAATACAATGTGTAGTTTACTGTGTCAGCATGTGTGCATGTGTGTGCACGTACACGCGTGCATGAATGTGTATTACTATCAGGAAATACATGCTTATTGTTATTCTTCACCTGTAAACAATCTGGATTGTTTATATAATTATCTACAACAATATTTGGGGTAGATGTGCCAAGAAGTAATTAATTTAATGAACTAACCTAAAATTGTAAAAAAATTTACTTATTGCCATCTTTATACATATAGCAGAGTCTCGTCTAACCTAAGTTTGTGAGTAATGTCATATAAGTATTTATGAATCATAAATTCAGTTTAGCAACAGCTGTACCAGAACAGAATAATCATGTTTATGTTTTTGTGGAATTTTTCCAACGTAACTAGATCTAATGGATGAAAAAAGGCTTTCCCAACATTTACTACAAATTACTTGACCTGCAATTTCCCCATCATGTGTGATGTGCGGTGTGAAATGGGCCTAAGGAATAGTACTGTTGTACACAAGCCCTACAAACCTTGGCCCCACTGCGTTGATGTTATTCCTAACTTTCGTTGCTGTGACATCGATAATAACAGAACAAGTTAATGGAAATGTAGAATTATAGCTATACGTTTAAAGCAAAGTTACAAAACGAGACCATTTCTTGTCAGTATCAGGAACGTCTGGTCAGGATTGCACCAACAGAAGACGACCATTCCCTTGAACAGTACTGTGAGAGCAGGTGTGTTTCAATGCTGATCTTGCGTGGACGTCATATTACAGCATGTTAAGGAACGTTAATTTTACATTTTTCTTCCACGTTCTGGATAATACAAATCACAATCATCAACAGACGCCTACATTACCGACGAGTGAGGAGAAATGCACCTACCTGTACAAGCACCAAGCCGCGGCCGACACAACATCGCTGTATTTACAAATTCCACCGCTGCTCGCATTCCCACTTCTGTCGTCTGCTTCCGAACGAATCCTCTCGCCTGACCTCACAAGTTTTATGAAATGCTCTTGCTCCAATGTCAAAACGTATCCATTCCCGCGTGTTCAATTCTGGCACTGTAGGTCAAATCTGTGACAAAGGAAACGAAAATCATTAATTCTGACTAAGCTTTACCTTGCTTACCATTCCAACACAACTACAAGACAGGTGCGAGGTGTATACCCAAATTGCACCCCGTAAATATTTATACCCTTTCGGCAGCGCTGCATTTGAATCAACACGCGTCACTTCAATAAATGTAGAAGATTCGTAGAAAATCATGAGCTTGCCACAATAAAGCGAGAGCCTTGAATCAACATCACCGACCGATGTGAATGAATGAACGGATGAAGCGACTGTGCCGTCGGTCACAAGGGCGGAACAATTTTACACAGATCAATAAGAGCATTGCAACATGCGTTAGGATGCTGCGCACGGGAGCATCTCGGTTTAGGCTGTGGATGTCGGATGCGGAGGGGAGGTAAACGGCTGTGGAAGAAGCAGAGGAACCACAAATAGGCATAGCTTAAGAAAATTTGCCTAATTACAGAAATATTAGGTCTGGTAACTCTGGTTTAGTGATTTTCTCCGCTGCTTCAATTACTAGGATATTACTGCGAGAATACTATAACGTTGAATAACGCCAGGCTTGCTGGCTGGGCCCATATCATGTATCTCTTTACACATCTTACATAAAGCGCTGCTTGAACTAGCCTAAATGTAGACCCGTCTATTGTTTAACGTTAACAATGATATCCCATTATCCATTTTCAGTGTTTACGTACAAAACTAAAATTTATAATATTTTCACAATCAAATCATAAAAAATGGACCTTTAAATTATCTTCTATACCAAATCCTGAATAGCCTATTGTCTTTACACCTAGACTATTTCATCATCTCAAGAAAGTAATGAGATGCGACTAAAACATGTAATTATCCATCAAAGGTAACAATCAAACCTGATATATATAATCCTATGTTAAAAACCATAATACAATTATTTAGGTAACAACATACAGATATTGCACTAACGACGCTCTGGCTTCCAGTCTGCGATTAACATACAACTACCACCAATTGTAGGCCGAGGTAATTGGACCACATTATCAGTGTTTATTCTACAATGTCCGCAACCTGACGAAAATTACCCGGTAATCACGATAATCATGGACATTTTATAGACCGCCGGGGCATAAACAACAATTAGATCCCCGCTCCTGTCAATCCAGCATTGTGATAATTTATCGTTCACAATAAGACTTAACTTGCTGTAATATGTAATTGGGGAATTATCTAGTCCCCGTTCAACCTCAGGTAACGTGGACAACTAGAATAACGGACTACATTGGCTGGTGGGTTGCACGTAGGGTCAAGCTTAGACTAACATCGAGACTCTGAAATACAAATATTTCACACAAAATAACCCTACAAAAACTGTTCGTAAATTATCTGAATAAAATATTATGAAGAGGAGCTCAGAAACTTTCTTCATTTTCAGAAACTGCATCGGAATTTAGACTTTCCCAATATCATGGACTTGCATGGACTGTGCTGGATATATATGTTTCAGTGTCTGTGTGCTAGGTTAGATGAAGCTTAGAGCGATTCGTTTCTGTATTGGAGCAAATTTGATCTTTTTTACAACTGATTGTGAACAAATTATCAATCTAATAACACTCTTTCCCCACCCAAAGTCCCTTATATGGCGCAATTCAAATATCTTTTCACACCCAGAAAAGATCCTCAGATGCTAAGCATTGCATGCACAGATGCTCACATCGGAGCTGTATTCTACTCGTATACCTACATATGCACAGGTGAGGTGGTGAAATGGGGTTTGACGTCGATTTAAGAATATTTCGCTCATATGACGACGTGCATGCGTGTGCATGTGTGGCTGCTTGTACTTGCCTAGACTTAAACTGGTTTTATAGTGCTAGCTCACTGAGATACCCTGCCGCAGTTAGCATGAATACCCAACTCAGACACAGTATACTGACCCACGACCTTCCGCTCTCCACATATGCACAGACAGAACCGAGTATGTTATCGGACGTCACATCTGCAAATCTGATGATTTGGTGTACTGTGTAGTACAGATACAGTTTGAATTCAATACTGTGGTAGATTAAGTGAGTGAGTGAGTTTTTGGTTTTACGCCGCACTCAGCAATATTCCAGCTATATGGCGGCGGTCTGTACATAATCGAGTCTGGACCAGACAACCCAGTGATCAACAGCATGAGCAACGATCTGCGCAATTGGGAACCGATGACATGTGTCAACCAAGTCAGCGAGCCTGACCACTAGATCCCGTTAGTCGCCTCTTACGACAAGCATGGATTACTGAAGATCAATATTCTAACCTGGACCTTCACGGGTATATGGTAGATTAAGAGTAACACTGATTAATGTTAGGTTTTAAAAATGTTATATATTTCTGTGACTATACATTTATTTAACTAACCTTTTTCAAAATCGTATCCAGTATCAGTTTTCCGACGAAATACGTGTTTTGTAAAAAAATAATCAACTACACCTCATATCAGACAAAAAGGTAAATGGTTCATCTATATTTAACCAAGACAATGTCGTGACACATTCCTCATTCTTTCTATGTCATGTATAAATTAGTACTACGTCATGAATAACTGGTTGCATGGCAACATATTCAATATATTGGAACATGTTCATCACTGTATATTATAAATAATCACATTTCGATGTACAAATATATGTCTTGATGAACTCGGTCCAAATATGTATATCCACTCTATATATTCGACAGCTGTGCTATTTTCGATATTGTGATTTATTTCCTGTCATATCCACGGCACTTCACAGTTGGAACACGATTTGATATATTTCAACATAAATGTACATAAAGGCTCACGCTGGTGTAACCTTTTAAATACAAGTGTATAAGACTCTGATAAGCGCGCGTTAAAATATTTACGGACAAGAGTACTCAACTATAGCGCTCCTATAAATGGAAATATAGGTAATCTTATAGGTATTAAAGTAAACGACATACAGCTATATTGGTATATCATCACCCGATAATTTGACGTAGGTCATACAGTAGTATATCGATGATGTATTTTAATACCATATTCTCACCCGTTACAGTATTTTTAAAGGGTGCATAGGGTAGCCCAGTGGTTAAAAGCGTTCGGTCGTCCGCTTTTAGAAAATATTCCAGCAACATACGGCGGGGGACACCAGAAATGGGCTTCACATGCATATTGTACCCATGTGGGGAATCGAATCTGGATCTTCGGCGTGACGGGCGAACGCCTTAACCAATAGGCTACCCCACCGCCCCTATACTGTTTATGGTCACCTGTGGACTGTAGAAAATATGATTATCAGTAGAATATGCACATAAATTGTACTCTATTCATTGAACATAAGATGATTCAAGTCACAGAAAAAGAATTCGAACCCGGGTCTTCGGCGTGACGAGCCAACCCTTTAACCACTAGGCTACCCCACCGCCCTCCGGTTGAAGACCCAGTTATGATTAACTATACGGCTACATTGAGAGAAGCCCATTTCTTCTGTCCCAGTATGGACATGGCTGGCATATATTGATATTCGCTGTACTTAAATGTAAAGGCATATTATCACAGTCATGTTGTAGGTGATGCCAATCTTGTCACATGTTGTCAAAAAAGGACATGTCCGAACTTGTAACAAGGACCATGCAAAATATTTTATGATAACCTTTAATACAGATTTAGACCTGTAGTTATCAAACCATGATCATATTATTTATCATTGTTATTGAACTCCAAATATGGAAACATAATAATGAATATAAATAATACCTGTAACAATCACCGTAACTGGAATAAAAAGCATTCGCGCCGGAATCTGAATCAAGGGGCATAACTCTTCATACACTCATATGTGACGGATGTTGTCATGTTGCAATGTCCTGTTGGTCCCATACAATGAGAGTGAGTGAGTATGGTTTTACGCCGCTTTTAGCAACACTCCAGCAATATCAGGGCGGGGGACTCCAGAAATGGGCTTCACACATTGTATACCCATGTGGTGAATCGGACCACGGTCTTTAGCGTGACGAGCGAACGCTTTAACCACTGGGCTACCCCATCGTCCCCGCTCTCTTTCAGAGAGGGGTAGGTAACGACAGGGTAGTGGCAACATTGCAAGCGGTACTATATCCCACCAATGAAACGCTATATAAACTGACGCCGTTCTCAGAACTACCAAATAAAAAAATCCTTTATAGCTTCAGATACTCATCGCACGGAAATGAAATTGAAGGTCTATAAAAAATCATCTTCTTCTCCATCTGTTCTGAATAAAACAAAGTAATGCATAGAACAGACCTGAAATACTTTCAAAAGATACGGAAGATTCCCGAACACGATTCTTCCATCAAGGGTTCTAAACTTGAGTTGGCGTTACGCATAAAGTAAACACACTGGAACGAATCTTGTACGAACGCCTTTGGTGTCAAGTGACGGGATTAATTAAAACCAGAACCCTTTTACTGCGCATATACACGAGCAGGACCCGGATGTGAGGTGACAGTGTGAAGTGGAGTAATTAGAGACGCCAATGGCGTTGACAGACAGTTGTCAGTTAAAAATAAATTAATGTAAATTTCATCAACAGGGCAGCAGAACTTGCAAAGTTCATTATGTTTTCGTAACCATAGAAACCATAGTCAGCGTTGCGATTGAGATGAAACGTGAAGAAATAAGTCTTAATTAATCCGTATGATAATTACAAGCGACATCTCCCTGCACGTTTGGGGATTTACACGGGGACGGCGCAAAGACGACGTCCTTCAACCGTTAAACCACCAATTCCTTCGCCAGGCGGAATGGCGACTGCGTCAAAGCTGGATAAACCACAGAACAATCTAATCACAGGAGAGATTCGCTACAGTCTGATATACATATCTGATAAGAACAGCTTCAGACAGACACGCAGCTATATCTTCATATCTATGTTGCAATAAAATACGGATAATTGTGCTGTATTACATGATTTTACTTCAAGCAGACATGAGAACAAATGTCTATAAAGTATATTTAGACGTCTACTTACATT